ATCTATTTAAATATACTGCTGTACTAAATAGAGTTCTTATGATCAACAGCTACCTGAGCTGAACAGAACAAACTGGTCAGCAGTCAGTTTTGCAGTGCCAGAATAAATACAGACCATCTTTCCATTACTACTTGAAGGAGGACATTTATTCAACCACAATTACAAGTGTTAAAAGTATAAGGACTTTAAATCTATAAAAAGACTAGTACGGGACTGTAGGAGTAACAGAGTTTGTTTTGGTTGGTTTGTTTAAAGAGAATTCTTTATTATACCTCAAAATATGGATACAGATAGGACTGCACAGCCCTGCAGATTACCTCAACAAGTCTTTTAATTACAAAGGACAACATGCATCCTGAAACTGAAAACAAATGTTATTTATTTTTCAATTAGCAAGGCAAGTATTTCCTTCACCAAGATGTTTTCTAGTCCCGTGCAGTCCAAGCAGCTAGTGTTGGAAGAGAAAATACCCTTCATGTAAATACAAAGTTACAATAATTACAGCATAAACCAAAGAAACAGCAACAATCAAACAAAAACCCTACCTAGATTTCCAACAGCTACTGAATTAACAAATTTTCCTGCTTCCTATTCGTTTGGGTTCATTTGTCTCTGAGCAGTAAGATGCCGAAACCCTCTGTATCAGTTTTCCCCATTAGCTACAGTGGAACACTTTGATCCTCTGCACTCCCACTGTGGGGCTACGTGGGTGCTATCATGGGAGCATGCAAACACTCTTCACCATTGTGTGCTGAAAAAGGAAAGAGGACAGTTTGAAATCATGGAGCTGAGACGATTTAGGAATTTCTAGAGTGTCATAAAGCACACCACAAACTAGGAAACCCAATTATACCTTTAATTTCATGGCAGGCTTTCAAACTTTTTGTGGAAATTCTTAAGTGCCTGTCTTTGAAAACTTAAAATTAGAGACAGAGGAATTAATTCACCAGAGATGGTGCTAGAAGCTATTAGTGTCCTTTGAGAAATGGTAACTACCATGAGTTTTGGTTATAAGCATTTTAACAAGAGGAAAACTTGCCACAGACTAGGGCAGAGTTTTCAATGTTACTTCAAGCAGGTAAGAAAATTGGAACTGGTAATGTCAGAAAGTACTAGTAACAGATACTGAGCCAGAAGCTGAAAATTAATTGTGTCCTCTTGTTAGGGCACAATAGTGCTGTGATTTTATATCATCAATAACAAGCTATGCCCAATTGTTCAGACTACTTTTCCAAGCACAGGAAAAATCTCCCATCAGCACATTCTTGTCTCTTTCTTCACAGCTGAGATTACCTAGCCAAACAAAAGGAATAAACACCCCTGACACATCATGTTCCTTGGGTACTATTTTTTAACATAAGCTGCAATTATAATCCTGGAAAAAAAATCAGGCTTAAGACTATAGGCCGATTATTAAAAACAAGTCAAATTCCAAATTAAAGCTGTGAGTTACTTTTAGAGAACTCAGTTCTTTCAAACTAAGCATATGGTTTGTGCTTAGATTGTCAAAAAATCAAGATCACATACTCTAAGTCAAAACAATAAATCTAAGCATATTCACATTGAAAATCCTCAGCATCAAGAACATACTTGGTCAGTTCCAAACTACTGTGAGGACCAAGCCCAGCCTTTTCTGGAGTTTTGCTTCTCAGCATTTCTATTTTTGAGGGGAAGGTGAGAGTAGGGATGGAGTCCATGACAGGGAGTGGTTGCTTGTTTTACTGCAATTTATGTTTAATTAAGATGTTCTACACTTCTTCCTCATAAGCAGTTGCTTATTGTGGGACTCATTCAAGTCACTTTGTGAGTAACTTGCAGGACTGTGGTGAAAGTCAGCTCCCATTTCCCAACTCATGGTGTCACTTCCATGTTACACGTGTTTTCACTGACTCTGTGGGATTAAGACACTGGAGCAACAAGGAGTTTCGGAAAGCATGTGCAAGTGCCTGCTTTCCAACAATGTTCAACAACAATCTGAACATCCAGTCAGGAAATATGATGAAGCACTGCAGATTGCTGCAAATGGCATCAGAGGCTTTGACTTCAGTACCTAATTCATGCAGTTCAGGGACCTTTTATTACAGTTAAGCTTAGGATTTAAGCTATTGCATCGCCATTACCTTTACATAGGAATGTGCACCCGTGCCTGCTTTCCAACAATGTTCAACAACAATCTGAACATCCAGTCAGGAAATATGATGAAGCACTGCAGATTGCTGCAAATGGCATCAGAGGCTTTGACTTCAGTACCTAATTCATGCAGTTCAGGGACCTTTTATTACAGTTAAGCTTAGGATTTAAGCTATTGCATCGCCATTACCTTTACATAGGAATGTGCACCCACAACTTAGGATTTAAGCTATTGCATCGCCATAACATGTACCATGATTACCTTTACATAGGAATGTGCACCAAATACACAACTGAAAAGCAAGTTTTGGAGTAGCAGAATGGATCAAATGTTATTCCTGACTACTATGGTTGTGGGACAGGAGGGAACAAAGACACCTTCATTTGTAAGCAAAGACTAAATGCATAACTATAAACCGAAATAATCTGAATGTTACAGAGGTTTGCAAATAACCTTTCTTGTTTAAAATGTGCTGTTACTCAAAATAGATATGCAGAAGTATGTCTACTGCATGTATTTTTGCATGTGCAAATATATACCTAAGCACACCTTTCATATACATGCTTAGAGCTAAACCCATGTTAGTGCTCTGCCAATACAAAATATCCACAGCAACAGGGAAAACATACAAAAGCAGTGAACTCCAATTCTACCTCAATTTCCCATACCCACAAAAAAAAACCCCGCAAAGCAAAGAAGTGGCATAAGATAGCACAACAGGGTGGAGCTCAGGATAATCACAAGGACAACGAGTTTCCCTGTATATACCTTTTGACCCCACAATCATCCCTGTTTATGCAGAGACACACAGAGATTATTCACCTTCCTGCCCAGAAGGAGCCAAAGCAGGAAGTGAGGCTGCTGGGCAAATATCAGTGCACATTATTGATGCTTTTGTAACATAAGTGTGCCTGCTTTGGGGGTATTTATGAATTAGGTGAGAAATTAGCATGAAACAGTGTGTGCATAAAACTGTCGCCTGCTGTTCTTAACCAAATATTGTCAAATTAGCAACTACCACACTTCCCACTGAGGGCTGTATATTTAAATGCTTTAAAAAAATCAAAAGCTATTTTTGGATTTATATGAACCAGAAAAGGGGCTGGAGTTGCATTTCTTCAAGGAGGAAGTAAACTTTATGCCCATGTATATGCTACCTCTGTCAAAAGTGGATGACTGGATTCTCATCTGAGTTTACAGAGACTAATTCTTTAAATAAAGCCTCTTGAGAAGTTACACAAAAAACTTGAGGACAGAGCTTCCTTCTCAGAAAGACTAAAAGGAACTGAATGAACATATGTGGATTAGAAATGCCATCTCAGACATGCAAACATTCTCTGAAAATCACTGACACTCAAGCTTAATGAAGAAAGCAGGTTTCGGTCTGAAGACCCCTGCAGCAGAAAGGGTTTATTTAAAAAAACAGAACATAGTGTTGTTTAGAGGATGGCTAGGAAGAATAATAGAAGAAAGGAACTGTTCAACAATACATTAAATACATTATTGCAACAGCCTAAGTTAAAACATTAATCCATCCTCTAGTAAGCAAAGGTATTAGCACAATTGTAAGGAGAACAGACTTGATGGTCCACTGGTCTCTTTCAGTACAGTAACTTGTGTTCTAGGATATTTGCCATAATACATAAAAGCCAAAAAGGTTGAAGAGTGTGGAATTAAACAAAGACACAGAGCAGGTAAAACTCAGCCCATGTTAACCTGTCATTCCACAGGATAGCCAGATGGTTCAGGGCCACCAGCTCAGTCTTTGGTCAGAATAGTAACAGGTGTCCCTTCTGTACCTACCATGCATGGGACATTTCAGAATCACAAACAATTCAAGGACTGAAAGTTACTGCCCATTTAGTAATGAGCATTAATAAAGTAATGCTGAAACACTGCAAGGTTCTCTTATTTTTTCAAAAAAATCACAATCTATGGATATAGTCCATTAAGCAAGACTTGTTTAACAAAATCTCTTAACAGCTAAAGTAATAATCAAGTTTGATCCACCAATGGTGAAAGCAGCAACAGTTTAAATTTACTAAACCTAATCCTCCAAACATCAGCCTGTATAACACTTGCAAACTTTAGCAGTATGGAACTCAGTACATTCACACAACTAGACACAAAGAAGTTCTCATTGTGTAAGATAAGTTCACATTTCAAGATTTCATAATACAGAAACATTACCTGCATTATATATGTAGCTCTGTACCTCCAGCAGAAAAACAGAAGTCTAGAAATATAATGTGAAGATAATCTCCTAAAATAGTAACTACTTAAAAGTAATCAGGTTCTCACACAACTCCCATATTAACATCTTAATTGATTTTAAGTTCTCCATTTGTATCCCAATGAACAATTACTCACATAAGTAAGTAGTCTCTACAGACTTTAGTGGGATTACTCCTGAAAGGAACAGCTCATCAAAGTTCAAAATGGATAGGTCTTTCCTTAAAACATTTACAGAGCTATTTAAATGAAGCACTTGAAATTACCAACCTTACTTACTAACTAGTTCATGATTTTTTCCAATGTTAACTTTATCAATTCTAAAAACAGAGGGGACATAAAATTTTAGAAGATACAAGCTATGAGCAATGCAATCTCATCAACAATAAGAATCCAAGGAAAGAAGAAGAAAAAAAAAAACATAACAAAAAAAAGCCCCCTTAGTAGAATCTAGGATGTCTGCCCAAAATAGCTCCCCCCACCCCTAAAAAACACACTTATACACACACAGATAATTACTGCTTACTGATTTTGGGGAGGAGCTTATGCCCAGTAGTCACCCAACTAAGGGGAAAACCATATAAATACTCAAGGGGGACACTTGAAATCATCAGCTTCTGCTCACTCACCAGTGGCAGAAGAACTCCTCAGTAGAGGAGGATTCACTACTCTACCACTCTGCATTGGAGCTCCACAACATTTTGGTATGTTATGATTTAATTTCATTCTCTCTGATTTTGAAGGTAACTTCTACAGGATCCACTTTCCAGCTGGGGAGGGAAGAGGGTTGATATTTAAGGGCCAGTGAGCATCCTTACTGTCACTGGGGCTATTTGGAAGGCTACAGGTAAAACACAAGTTTCAAGCAAGACAATTTGAGATTTTTGCCACTAATGCTGAAGGAGCCAGGATTTCATCCTTCATTTGCTATAGCATTAGACAGAGGCAGGAAGGTCATGGTAGAGTGTCTATGTACTGTCACTGAAAGCTTTCCTTAATTTAAGGAATTTTGATACATGCAACTCCTGAACTTACTTTTGGAGATCTAGTTTAAATAATCACTGTTCCTGAAGACAGTGCTCATGAATAGGCTGGCATCCATTTAAAACTGTTCTTTTCCTAAGAGCGAGACTATTGCCTCTAAGCTATCTATACAAGAGCTCTATCATTCAAAGTGATAGCATCCTTTTTCTTAGAGGAATTTTCACAATTGGTGAAAGCAGAAGGAAGTAAGCACAAAATAATGTTACTTTTAAAACTAGTACTTGAAGAAAACTCATTTACTCATGCACAAGAAACAGAACTGAACAGCTTTTCTTGATAACAATTTTTTAACCCTTTCTAACACAGATTTGGAAAGATGCATTTACAAATATCTTTACTGCTGCTGTTTTGTCTGAACATTGTCCATGGTAGTGATGGATATTTTTCTGAGCGATATCAGAAACAATCCAGCATCAAGGGGCCACATTTTCTACCATTCAATGTAAAGAGTCAAGGTAAGTTCACTATTTTTTCATAATAAGCTAACACAAATATTCCTAGAGGGTCAATACATGAGCAAAAGCACTTTGTTTATAATATTGGTGTTCAACTTTCACTAACAGTTTAGGTTTATTAAAATAATGCTACCACTGTAGAAGGAACAGGCAGTGACTCTGGAATTGCCTCCTACTGACAAAGATGCACATTTGTCAGACAAATATTTTACACAATAACCACTAAAGGCATATAGAGAAGAAACAAAATTACAGCTGCAGATCTCATCTTCAATTCCAAGAGTAATACAACATGATTGTGTACGTTATTATGTACATGCTAATTATCATCTTCTTTATGAAATGAAGAGAATTTTTTAATGATAAATTTAGAGTTGTTATAAGACAAACACTGGGGTTTCTAACACTAGACCTGTCACCCTTTTAGTTGTAATAATCACAGTTGGGCAGTAATGAGGTAACTGAATGAGGGAATTGGAATTAGCATTTGCAAATTAGCTTCTCTTCATCAGAAGAAGGACACAGAACCAAATCTAGAGAGCAGAACAGTTGCTACTCAGGACATTGCATCCACATTACATTCATTTAGGAGGTTTTGTTTCAGAATAGCTCTAGTCTGACCCTGTGTGCTGTCTGCTCATGAGCAGCACACACCGAGTCCAAAGAGACTCTGGTCTCAGACCGACTGGTATCAGCACTGGTCTCACACCAACCATCTCCAACCCACATGCTCCAAGAATCTCTGCAGTAAGAATCAAGTGAAAGCAGCATGACCAGAAAACTTACCCCTCAAAATGTTCTTCTAGGCTGTACCAAAATATTGTTACAGTTCCACCACTGCTTTCATCACAAGGACTTTCTGGAATCCAGACAGCACTCCCAGATCAAATTTAGGTACATGTACATAAACAGCTACTCTGAGGACTTATTAACTGGAATTCTTACTGAGTTAAAAGCTGCATTTCCTCCCTTTCCCATAATTAAATTTTCATAGTGTTTTTCTATTACTTTATTCAGAATAATGTACATATTTATACTATTTCTAAGTGAAGTACAATATTTACTTGGTTATCCTCTATCATACTTTACTTCTCATAGTAGGCTTTTTTCTCCCTCAATAGGAAACATTTGGAAAGGGGGAAACCAGCAACAAATTAAGGAAGAGCCAGGGTAGACAGGAAATGGACAGAAAGGGGGAAGTGAATTGTCCTGAACTAAGTTTTCAATTTATATACTAATACAGAATCTAATGTGAATGAAACTTCATATTTAGAATGTGTATGATTACATGAACATGTGGAAAGTATAAAATGCTGTCTGTTTAGGAAAGGTAACAAAGAATATATAGTAGACCTCAAAAGCATGAACAGCTTACAGTTTTACAAACGTGTGAGTTCAGTTATTCAAAAGAGCTTGATAAATTTTCATTTGGCGAACGAGCATCAAAATGGAGGACTGCTATTGTTCAGTCTGGGAAACATGCATCCCTTGAGAGATTTTAAAGAATTTAAAGAGGGAAGACTGCTGGAGATTATCACTTCTAATCGGAGATGATTTTAGAAGAATAAAGCAGGAGGCTACAGAACCAAATGAATCTAGCTATTGTCTAGTGAGTTTTTCCATATGCAAGGGGCTCAAGTGGCACATGGCTTTTCATCACAGCTAACTTTTCTTATTTGATCACCAAACATTGAATTCTACATATTTAGTTACCAATACATTTTTTATTGTTTTGTACACCTTTGTCAAAAAGCAGCCTGGAATTGGAATTTCAGTCTAGAACCAAAACTGGTGACTCAGGACAACATGTAACAGAACATACAATTTCTGCTGGCAACCAAAACCTATTAACTCTTCATTTAATTTGGTGAAATTGTTTGAGCAGTTTAAAAAATCTTGTTCTTGACAGTTCTCCAGTCAAAATATACTTTCTATTTCTGTATGTATTTAGTGCTACTATTTTTTAAAATTATAAGAACACAGTTTTTTAACCAGTAGGTCTTTGGCTTGATATATTCAAACAGTCCGAGTTGAAAATAATAATTGAATTAGGTCTGACTATTCAGACATTATATAAGGCATTATTGCAGTATGTTAAAGTCTACATACTTAATTCAATACATATATAGTGTTTGGCTGCACTTAGAGAGTGTGAAACCATTTTGCATCAAGGTATGTGCTGAGACATATAAAAGAGAAGCCAACCAATACTTCAGTTTTCATGGCAAAAATCCTAATTCATTAATGTACTCAGCAATCCTTTCCTTAGAGGAATTACCATTGTCTTTAGACCACGCAACTAAAATACAACTTTAATCTAAAAGCAGCATAAGTGAAACAATATAGCTCCTCACAGAAAATCTTTGTAACAACACGAACACTGACAAAGCCTTTAGCATCTTATGCAAAAATGGCAGCAGCCAATGCTTTGTGAACCTAGGACTGATATGGTTGTAATTAAAACATGATAAAAAGCAAGAAAGATATACATTCTTAAGCTAAAGTCAGATTAGATTTGCCACCAAAAAACCTTAACAAAAATGTTTGTCAATAAATCACAGACTTTGCTAGCTTTCTATGTGTAGGATTTTAACAGCTATCTTCCTTGTCACTGCCTTAAGAGGGATGAGATAGGAAGGTGTGCAAAATAAGTTGATATGCATTTGTGCTGATTTTATGCATCAGCAAAAAAGAAAATGCACTCTCTGCACTTGCTAGCTAAGAACAATTTCCCTGCCAATACAGGAAGAAAGCAACCTTTCAGATCCAGTAACAAACCAAAATCAAATGTATTTATAGGCATACCTCTATTATTTTTTAAAATACAGTATGTACAAGAACAGTTTCCTTTTTCACCTCATTTTTGGTTCAACAAGACTAGGCACAGATTGGAAAATGCAATTTATTATCTAAGAGACAGCCAAATAGCCATTGCATAAACCACAAGAACAGTTTCCTTTTTCACCTCATTTTTGGTTCAACAAGACTAGGCACAGATTGGAAAATGCAATTTATTATCTAAGAGCCAAATAGCCATTGCATAAACGTTCATACACACATACCCCCTGTTCTCTTTGTGAGAGACTGAAATGCAAATTATAGCCGATCCAATTGTGAACCAATTATCAGTGTTTTGTAAATTTGTTGCCATTATAAAAAAAACCCCACCAGAATCCAGACTCTTCTTGTATCCTTCAGTTTTTATTTTTACAATTATTTATTAAATTAACATTCATCATAGGTATATCATTTCGTTCCATAATCCTGCCAGTTGCTGCAAACTAATGAAGTAGTCTCACAATATCCATGTTAATCTTGTACATAATGTTCCACAAATTAGCATCCTAATTCCAAGATGAAGCTGCAGGATCCCCCAAAGCACACAGAAAACTAAGCAGTGAGCTTGTTTGTTTATCCCTCTATTTGTGACATTTGGTTAAGTGGCTCCACCTGCTGTTTTGATAACTAAGAAAATGAAGAATTAAAAAAACCCAAAACGGTACCAGAATTCTGACTGCATTAAGATGAATTATCAGTTGTGACCTTGCCATTGTGTGAAATTTTTATGACAGACACAAATCTTTCGGATGGTATTTGAAAGTATAACATTCACATGTTTACAAAAGAACCAGTGCCAAGTAGGGGACAAGGAAGGACAAAAATCTCACTACAATGTAGCATGAAGTAGCTTCAGAAAAGCTGCTACACCTGCACAGAAAGCTTCCTGCGGTTTCATCCATCAAGATGCAAGTCTGGTGACCTGCTAAATCTTTACCTCGTTGGTTTTTTTCCCTTATTTAATAGTCTGCATCTATTTGCACAGCATTTTTTAAGCTTTCTGAAGACCTTAAATGTATTGAACCCAAAAAAATTTCTAGATGCCTTGTAGCTCACATTTCCAACAAATTTGCACTTATTACTTGTAAGAGCTCTGAAACACTTTTACTCTCAATATCAGGTTCCCAGTGACCAACACAGTACTTGACACTTGATTTCTATGATGTTCAAGTTAAGCTAGCCCTACACATTTCACCACCATACTACATGCTTGTAAATGTGTCATAGATGCCCTGGTTGATCTGGTTTCCTCTCTCTCACAGGTGTGCAGGTAAGGGGGGAACAAGGACCCCCTGGTCCTCCAGGCCCTACTGGACCACGAGGACAACCAGGTCCTGCAGGAAAGCCAGGGTTTGGAAGTCCAGGTCCCCAAGGCCCCCCTGGTCCCCCAGGACCACCTGGATTCTCTGCGGTTGGAAAGCCAGGTGTGCCAGGGCTCCCAGGAAAGCCAGGAGACAGAGGACTAAGTGGTGAGAAAGGAGAACCTGGACCTCTTGGGCTCCCAGGAGCAAGAGGACCACAAGGACCACCTGGCACGCCTGGACCTGCAGGACTGTCTGTCCCTGGTAAGCCAGGACCACAAGGCCCTCCAGGAGCTCAGGGTCCGAGGGGCCTCCCTGGTGAGAAGGGAGAGCCAGGTATCCCTGGAATAAGTGGACAGAAAGGAGAAAGTGGATTTGGCATTCCAGGCCGCCCAGGTGGCAGAGGTCTTCCAGGCCCACAGGGACCTCGGGGCCTCCCTGGTCCGGCTGGGGTTGGGAAGCCTGGTGAGAATGGTCTTCCAGGTCAGCCAGGTCTGAAAGGTGACCGAGGCTTTCCAGGTGCACCCGGAGCAGCTGGTCTCCCAGGTCCCCAGGGTCCCCCAGGCGAACCTGGAGAAGCTGGCATTGGCAAGCCTGGACCGATGGGACCCCCAGGAGCAGCAGGCATCCCTGGAGCCAAGGGACATCCCGGACCCGCAGGCTTGCCCGGATCCCCAGGTCTCCCAGGTTTTGGAAAGCCAGGATTGCCAGGGATGAAGGGACACAGAGGGCCGGAAGGTCCTGCTGGCCTCCCTGGACCCAAAGGAGACCAAGGCCCAGCGGGTGTGCCAGGAGAGCCGGGGCCGCCCGGGCCGCCCGGGAGCATGGGTCCCCATGGACTCAAGGGTTTGCCTGGGGAGAACGGCCTGCCCGGGCCCAAAGGCGACATGGGCCCTGCAGG